AGAGAGAGAGAGAGAAGAGAGAGAGAGAAAAGAGAGAGAGAGAGAGAGAGAGAGAGGGAAGAGAGAGAGACACAGTGAGTTTCTGTCTCCAGTAGCACTCCTGGGACAATTGAACCATCAGAGCAGCTAGAGCTGCAGACTGCAGAACTCCTCATACTTCACAACTGTGCCAACAACAGTGGATTTAATTAACTCCAAATCCCAAAGAGGTTTTTATCTTCAAAGTCAGCAGCTTGTTTGCTTTCCAGAAGTGATCAGGACCTTCAAACAGAAAATGCTTTAAAAGTAATTAGCGTTAAGAGAATTCCTGCTGGCTCATCCAGAAGTACTGATGGAGCAATCTAAATGTTAATTCAAACTTTTCTTAAACTTTCATTTTATGTTCATCAAGATGAGAGGTGTTGGTGTGGTGAAATGGAATACTTTCCAACATCAATTAGGAGAATTCTGACTGTGAAAATGGCACATCAAAAGCAGCCTTCTGTTCCACTAGTCCAAACTGAACATGTTCTGACACCAACCTGACTCCATCATAGTTTAAGTAGCTCATTACAGCAACAGCTAACTTCCATTTTGCAAATACATTCAGCTCATACTCACCATAGAAAACTTGACATTACCAACATCTCAGGTTTTTCCTTCTGGAACAAAGGTTCATTAGGTTAATTCCTGGGACACAAGGTCTGTCCAAAGACAAGATTGTATGATGGTCTTATATTCTCAGGGTTTTGTAAAAATAACAAGTGATCTCAATGAAATGTATAAAATATTTGACAACTTGATGTTAAGAGGCTGTTTTCTCAGACTGGGGAATCTAGAATACAGGGTCATTTTTTCAGGATAAGCGACCAGTCATTTAGAACGGATGAACTGAAAGTTTCTTCACCTAGGGGAACATAGGAAATAACGTAGGAAATGTAGGCCATTCAGCCCCTCCAACCCAATCTACCTTGCCACATCATGGTTGATTTTCTACCTCAGAACCACCTTCTTTTGCTATCCCTTATCACTTGATATCATTGATGGATTTCTAGATACCAATCTCTGTCTTGAGCATATTCAACAACTGAACTCCCATAGCCCTCCAGGCCAGAGTACTTTAAAGATTCATCACTGAGTGAGGGAACTCCTCCTCAACTCAGTCCTATATGACCTGCCCCATATTCAGAGCAATGGGAAACATCCCTCTCTGCATCTAACTCATCTACTGGAATGTTCGACATTTCAGGGAGATCACCCCTCATTTGTCTCAACTCTAGAGAATATAGGCCCAAACTCCTCAAACTGCCATTCAGAGGATATTCCTACCATCCCAGGAATTAACCCAGTGGATTCTGGCTGCACTACTTTTATGGAAAACATAGCCTTTTTCAAGTAAGGCAACGAAAACTGTACCCAGTACCACAGGTGTAATCTCACCAAGGTTGAATAAAATTGAAGCAAGATATTATATCTGTAATGATACCCTCTTGCAATAAAGGCCAACATACACTTTACATCCCAAATTGCTTGTGCACCTGTATGTTAGACAGACTTATGAACGAGAACACCTGGGTGCATTTGGACACGAACACACTGCAACCTCACACCACGTAAGAAATACTCCCATTTCTGTTTATTCCCCACCAAAGTGGATAACTTCCCCTTTTTTTCCATTACATTCTTTTTGCCATGCTCCTACTATTCACTTAGAGGCTTGTGAATCTTTAGAACATTTCTATCCCAGAAACCTGTGGTTAGACAGTTGCTGAACATATTCAAGAATGCGTCAACAGATTTTTAGGCTCTAAGGAAATTACAGGGAATTATGGGAATTGCAAAGTCAGGTTACATACAAACTGCATGCGGGAGGAGGCTGTTTAATAAAACCACAAGATTGTGGCTGATCTAATTGCAACCTCAAATCCATGTTCCCTCCCACCCACCCCCGATAACCTGTTATCTCCTTGCTTAGCAAGGATCTATGTATCACTAACTTGAAAATAACCAAAAACTTTGCTTCCAACAGTTTATCAGGAAGAGTGTTCCAAATTGTATTTGGAACCCCTCCCTCCACTACCAATGCTCAGCCACAACAGTGTATACTACGTACCAGATGCACGGCAGAAATTCACCAAAGATCCTCAGACAGCACCTTCCAAACCCACGACTACTTCCATCTAGAAGGAAGAGAGCAGCAGACATATGGGGACACCACCACCTCCAAGTTCCCCTCTAAGCCGCTCACCATCTTGGCTTGGAAATATATTGCCACTCCTTCACTGTCACTGGGTCAAAATCCTGGAATTCTCTCCCTTATAGCATTGTGGTTCAACCTACAGCAGGAGGACTGCAGCAGTTCAAGAAGGGAGCTCACCACCACCTTTTCAAGGGCAACTAGGGATGGGAAAGAAATGCTGGCCAACCAGCAACACCCACATCCCACAAATGAATAGGAAAACAAATAATCTTATAACCGGCAGAGAAACAATTTTACTCATCCTGGAATTAAATGGACAATCCTTATTTTTTAAACAGTGACCCTTAATTCTTGATGCTCCCAAAAAAGGAAACATTCTCTCCAAATGTAACCTGCCAAGTCCCCTTAGGATCTCATATGCTTCAATCAAGTCACCTCTTTCTCTAAACTCCAGCTGAGACTGTCCACCCTTTCCTTATAGGACAATGAACCCCTATTCCAAGTATTAATCAAGTAAACCTTTTTTTAAACTGCTTCCAACAATTTTACATCCTTCCTTAAATAAGGAGGCCAGTACTGTGCACAATACTCCAGATGCAGTCTTTTCTGTGCCCTGTATAATTGAATCATAACCCCCTCACTTTCGCATTCAATTCTCCTCACAATAAATTATAACATTCTAATGGCTTTCCTTATTACTTGATGTGCATGAGAATTCCCAGGTCCCTCTGCACCCAAGTCCTTCCAACTTCTCACCATTTAGATAAAATGCTTTCTCTTTCATTCTGCCAAATGGACAATCTACATTATACCTTTGTTGCCACATCTTTTCTCAGTCACTTAACCTAGCTTTTTTTTGTGATGTCCTCATCACAATTTACTTTCCTAACACTCTTTAGGTCACCGACGTTCAAACAGATGGCCAGCTTCCACGTTATTGAATGGTAAAGCAAAATCCAGAGTTTCCTACATTATTGACCTGGATCTGGTTTCTCCACTTGCCTTTCACCCAACCACTACTTTCTCTTTGGAATATTTCTCTGTCTTAATGTTGCAATTTCCTGTTGCTTGAATTTTTTCTTTATTTCTCATTCATTCCCTCCATCCATCTGCGCTTGATGCCCCACAAACTACCTTTGTTCAACTAAGGCTCTCTATCCCTTGATTTCTAGCTCATGATCTCTCTGCCGACTTCTGGAAACCACAACGTGGAGATGCTAGCGTTCAACAGGGGTGGACAAAGTCAGAAGCCACACAACACCAGGTTATACTCGCAACAGGTTTATTTGAAATTGCAAGCTTTCTCAGCACTGCTCCTTCATCAGGTGAAGTGGAGGGAAATGCACAGGCACAGAATATATACGCGGATTTATGTATATTTTATGTATATATTCTGTGCTTGTGCGCTTCTCTCCATTTCACTTGACAAAGGAGCAGCACTCCGAAAGCTTGTGATTTCAATAAATCTGATGGGCTATAACCTGGTGCCGTGTGACTTCTGACTTTGCCCACTTCTCGAAAATTTGTCTCTGCAGCTTGTGCTCTTCTCTTCCCAATATCTGACATCTCATTGGCCACTGAATGTTTATCATAGCCAACACAGTGAAACCAAATGAGATTATCAAAACAATGGTATAATAAAGACCTGGATCACATCTATTCTAACTTAGTTAAGGAGGACAAAAACTGTACATAGTATCCCAGTTGTAGTCTCATCAAAGCCCCATATAACTGCAGCAAGACTATCTTATTGCTATACTTCAGGAAAGAATCGGAGTGGGGGGAGCGGTGAGGAGCTGGGGGGAGTGGTGGTGTTGGAGACAGTACATAGAACAACTGCACAATGAAGAAACAGAGAGACAGATACGAGTGGAAATATAGAAAAATATTCTGAACATATGTAGAGATACATATTCAGATAATGTACAGAGTATTTGAAATCACAAGGAAACAAAAATCTGATAGACAGTGACTCGAGGATCTGTCATTGACAAAAACAAAAATGGCAAGGATCAGGGAGATTCCATTTATTCCCTTGAGGATGTGCACATTTTGGCTGGGCCAGCATTTAATGCCCATCTATGATTGCTGTTGAGAAGGAGCTGTTTTCTTGAACTATTTCAATCTATTTGGTGTAGAGATATCCATAATGCTGTTAGGAAGAGTTCCAGGATTTTGACCCAGCAGCAGTGAAGGAATGACAATTTATTTCCAAGTCAGGCTACTGTGTGGCTTCAAGGGAATTTGCAGATGGCGTCGTGCATCTGCAGCTCTTGTCCTTCTAGATGGTAGTGGCTGCGCATTTGGAAGGTGCTGTCCAATGAGCCTTGGTGAGTTTCTGCAGTGCATCTTGTAGATAGCATACACTGCTGCTACAATGCGTTGATGGTGGAGGGAGTGAATGCTTGTGTGCGTGCTGGCAATAAGCAGGCTGCTTTGGCCTGGATGGATAAGCTTCTCAAATGTTGTTGGAGCTTCCTGATTTGTGCCTTGTAGCTACTGAACAGGCTTTGGAATCAGGAGGTAAGTTCCCAGTTGAAGGATTCCTAGCCTCTGACCCGCTCTTGTAGGCATAGTATTTTTATGGCTGGGTCCAATTCAATTTGGTCAAGATGCTCATAGTGGGGAATTCAGTGATGATAATGCTGTTAAATGTCAAGGAGCAAAGGTTAGAGATGATCAATGCCGAGCACTTGCCTGGCACAAATGACTGTTGACTCTTATCAGCCCAAAGCTGAATATCATCCAAATCTTGCTGCATTTGAACATGGACTGCTTCAGTATCTGAGAAGTCATGACTGAGCAATCATTGGTGAACATCCCCACTTCTGACCTTATGATGGAGAGAAGGACAATGATGATGCAGCTGATAAGGGTTGGGCCTAGGATGTTACCACGAGGAACTCCTGTAGAGATGTCCTGGAACTGGGATGACCGACCTCCAACAATCACAACCATCTTCCTGTGTGCCAGATCTGACTCCAACCAGCCGAGAGCTAGCACCCCATCATCACCCACACCCCTCCCGATTCCCATTGATTCTGGTTTTGCTAGGGCTCTGCCAACTTGGTCAAATGCAGCCTTGATGTCAAGGGCTGTCACACTCACCTCATCTCGGAATTCAGCTCTTTTGGCCATGTTTGAACCAAGGCTATAATGAGGTCAGGAGCTGAGTGCCCCCTGCAGAACCCAAACTGGGCGTCACTGAGCAGGTTATTGCTGAGCAGGTGCTGCTTGATAGCGCTGTTAGTGACACCTTCCGTCAATTTACTGATGATTGAGAATAGACTGATGGGGCAGTACTTTGGCCGGGTTGGATTTGTTCTGCTCTCGCGGCCAATTCCTTGCATTGTCAGGTGCAAACCAGCATTTCAGCTGTACTGGAACAGCTTGGCTAAATGTGTGGCTAGTTCCGTAGCAAAATTTTCCAGTAATAGTGCTGGAATGTCATAGTAGTATGCAGTCTTTGCAGTATGTTGTGTCTCAAAACACTTCCTGATTTAAAAAAAAACATTCACAGGATGTGGGCATCGCTGGCTAAGTCAGCATTTACTGCCTATCCCCCGAGTGTCAACCACATTGCTATGGGTCTGGAATCACATGTAGGCCAGATTGAGTAAGGACAGCAGATTTCCTTCCCTAAAGGACATTAGTGAATTTGATGGATTTTTACATGATGATCATTAGGCTAGCATTTTATTCCAGATTATTACTGAATTCAAATTTCATCATCTATCAAAGTGGGATTCAAATCCTTTTTCCCAGAACAAGAACTTGGAGTTCTGGATTACTGGCATTGTCATTATCACTATGCCAGCACCTCCCCCTAACAGTCACCTTGATATCATAGGAGTCAACTGAATTAGGTGAAGATTGGCATCCGTGATGTTGGGGACCTTTGGAGGAGGCTGAGATGGATTATCCACTCAACAATTATTGAAGATTTGTACAAACGCCCTAGCCTTATTTTTTGCACTATGCGCTTTGTTCCCCCATAATTAGAGGTGGGGATATTGGTGGAGCCTTTTCCTCCAGTGAGTAGTTTAATTACCCACCATCATTCACAATAGGATACTGCAGGACTGCAGAGCTTAGTTCTGATCTGTCAGTTGTGGAATCAATTTGCCCTGTTTATCAGTTGCTGATTATTGTTGCTCAGATGCAAGTAGTTCTGTTTGGTAGCTTCACTAGGATGACACCTCATTTTTTAGGTCTGCCTGGTCCTTATGGTCGAGTACAACTCCTATTAATAAAAGAGAATAAAATATGATGCCTCACCTCTTCTCACCACGGTATTCAAACTTGACTCGAATATCATTCTGGAATTGAACAAATTCAGGAAATTAACTATTCTTACACAAGCAAATAAGCCTTGTCAGAAAAGAAAAGTTTCTTTTTATTTATTCATGGTTGGATGTCACTGGCTAAGCCAAGATTTATTAGCCACCCCCAATTGCCGTAAGGGCAGTTAAGAACTAACCAGTGGGTCTGACGTCACACGTAGGCCAGACCAGGTAAGGATGGCTGAGTTCCTTTCTAAAGGGACATTCGTGAACAAGATGGGTTTTTACAACAGTCAAAAGTGGCTACATGTTTGCCATTAGACTATCTTTTAATTTCACATTTTATCAAATTCAAATGTCACCATCCGTCATGATGGGATTCAAGCCAATGTCTCCAGCACATAATTCAGGATTACTAGTCTAGTGACATTATCACTACACCACTGCCTCTCCGTGAACATTATAAATAAGGGAAACGGAAGAACAAAGAATCTAGCCAATAATCCAAAGCCTTTTCCACAGGTCAACCTCCAACAAATACCAACCTACTCATCCTGTCCTTCAATCCCTTGTGTACTAAAAAGACATCTAGATTACACTTTGAACTAACTGTCATCATGCACTACAATAGCATTTTGAATCAAATAGCCTATTACACTGGAGGTTCTAGCCTTAGAATTTATTCGGAGAGTTGTTTTGTACTCTGCAACATTACATCAATTCTACAACAGACATATGGCACCCACACCCACTTGGCTGTGCCAGCATTTAAGTCCCACAAGAACAACTGCTCACTTTCTCACCTCACTCATCAACATAACTTCCTATTCCTTTCTTCCTGGTGTGTTTATCCAACTTCTTGTTAAACACTTTTTACGTTCTTCACCTCAACTAGCCCATGAAATATTAAGTTCTGTATCCTAGTTACACTGAGTAAGGAGGTTTCTCCTGAATTCCATATTGGATTTATGACTATTTGAGTTTTTGAATTCCTACATGTGGAAATGTTAAAGTGAAGAGCTGACTATTCCTGTAATCTGTAACAGACCTGTAGCTGTATGAAGTGAATCAGTAGAGGGTGCCAGACAACCAGATCAGAAAAGCGTGTGACAAATGTGTTGTAAAATTCTAACAGAACTAGACAGGGCAGATGCAGGGAGGATGTTCTCGATGGTGGGTGTGTCCAGAACCAGGGGTCACAGTCTGAGGGATTGGGGGTAGAGCATTTAGGATGGAGATGAGGAGACATTTCTTCACCCAAAGAGTGGTGGGCCTGTGGAATTCATTACCACAGGAAGTAGTTGATGCCAAAACATCGAATGTATTCAAGAGGCAGCTAGATATGGAACTTGGGATGGATGGGATCAAAGGTTATGGGGAGAAAGCAGGATTAGGCTATTGAGTTGGACGATCAGCCATGATCGTGATGAATGGCAGAGCAGGCTTGAAGGACCAATGGCCTCCTCTGCTCCTATCTTCTATGTATGGTTTCTATGCTCTCTGGTTCACACCATAAGACCACCATACAAACCATGAAAACGAGTAGGCCTTTCTGCCCCTCAAGCTTGTTCCACCATTCAACAGGATCATGATGGATCTGACATTCCCCACATTCACTTTCCTGCCCTTTCCCCATAAAACTCGATTCTTGACACTACACGTACCTGATTACTGGACATGGTGGTCTTCGGTTTCCCTGCATCATTCAATGGCAGGAGAGGTCGGCTAGCCATGTGGAGCACAGCTAGATCTTGCATGATGGAGTTAAGAGCTTGCTGCTCATCTATAAAAACAAATCAGATTTCAAAATAGTGAAAATCACCTCAAGAGTACAGTCACACTGTGCATCTCTGACCTTCTCTTGAAGTGGGAAGTCTTCCTGGATAAACTTATTAATCTGTCAATTTAAAAATGACAGCTTCTTCTTTTAAACCTTTTTGACAATAGAAACATGCATTGCGATCACTGCAGCATTCCTTATCTATGCATTAAAATGAGTTTATTACGCCATTGATGTCGACAGTGAACCCGAGTTTCTTAAAGGTAATTGTGTCAATATCCAGTGATGGTTGTCTATTCCTGTTTTTAATACTGATACACCCAGTAACATGATTGCTCATTCAAGACGGATGGGTAAGACGGGTGTACAAAAATACCAAAGCACTGCGAATGCTGGAAATCAGAAACTGCTGGAAAAACTCAGGAGGTCTGGCGGCGTCTGTGGACAGAAAGCCAAGTTTACATTTCAGGTTCAGTGACCCTTCTTCCGAGCTAACTGCAGTGAGGAAAAGGTTGGTATATATGCTAGAGAGTGTGAGGAGAGGGGCAAAAAGAGTAAACAATAGTTAGAGATGAAGCCCAGAGAAAGAGAAAACAGTTGGACAGATAAAGGAATGATAAAGGTCATCCTGGGAGAATTAATAGCTGCTAATGGGGACTGTTAGAGTCTGATAATGGATTGTTTGTGGTAGCAGTTCATGTGATGACAAGGCCTGGCGTGCAGGGGTTGGGGTGAGGACATGGGAGAAGGTGGTCAGGCTCAAAGATTATTGACCCTTCTGAGAAAGGATCACTCCGAAACATTAATTGATTTCTCTCCACAGATGCTGCCAGACCTGATGATCTTTTCCAGCAATTTCATTTTTTTGCTTCCAATTTACAGCAACCGCAGCTCTTTCAGTTTCCAGAAGTTATTGAACTCTATATTCAGTCTAGAAGGTTGCAGATTTTCCAAGTGGAAAATGAGACGCTGTTCTTCACAAGCTTAGCTTGTGCTAAGCTTCACTGGAGCACTGCAGCAAGCCTGAGACAGAACTGTCTGCCAGAGAACATGGTGGTGTGATGAAATGGCATGCAACTGGAAGCTCAGGTTTATTTTTGTGGACAGACGTATGTGTTCTGCCAAGCGGTTGCCCAATCTACGCTTTGTCTCTCCAGTATACAGCAGACTACATTGTCAGCCGTGAATACAGTAGACTAAATTGAGTGGAAGTGAAGGTAAATTGCTTCTTCACTGGAAAGTGTTCTTGGGGTCTTGGAAGGTGGGCTCCTCTCCAGCTGGACTCCATTTCCACTCACCCCTTCTCTAGCATATATACTAACCTTTTCCTCGCTACAATCAGTTTTGAAGGGTCACTGGACTTGAAACGTTAACTCTGCTTTCTTTCCACAGATGTTGCCAGACCTACTGAGTTTTTCCAGCAATTTCTGAAGATGTGTGCACACTATCCGCAGGTCCACAATCTGGGCACAGGACAATGCTACACGTTATCAGATTCTTCATCGTGGCTGTAAATCACCACCATCTCAAATTTCTCACAGACGAGGCAAGTTACTGTTGTTAGGTTATCCCAGGGCACTAACTCCAACATGGTTTTACCAAGTCATCTTTAATATTCCTCCTTTACAAAGAAAGTTCATCCTCACTTTGACAAGAAGCAAATACTGGCAAGCACTTGACTCACCCATGTTGGCAGCAAGATGGCCAAATGGACTTTTAACGGACAGGTGATTCTCCCATTAATAGGCTGAGTTTTACCTAAAACATAAAATGCAAAAAAAAAAAAAAATTGCTGTTTTAGTTTTACATTCACCAATATCAAACCATACAATAAGCATCCTAGCCTGCTCTCCCCACCCCTCTGCCATCTAATTTAACCCATTCCCAATCTGTATGGTCGATTAACAGAGGGAACTTTCACTCCATCAAACTGAACCAAGGTCCAAGAGGTGAAAGACTAGCCTCTACCCTCATCCACCACTAAACTCTTCAGGACTTGGTTATTTCAATTGTCAGAATGGGTATGGTATTGAGGTGTCTCAAAATAGTGGAATTGATTTGCCCAGCACTAATCAAGTCAGACCGTTTCCAAAAACAGTATCTACATTTTTTTTTAAAATCGTTCACAGGATGTAGACATCATAGCCAATACAAACACTTGTTGACCTCCCCAAGTGCCCTTGAAGTGAGTGGCTCACTAAGACTCATTTCAGAGGACACACTGCTGCGCGTGAGTAGTTGCAGCAGACTAGTCCAGGTAAAAGATGGAAGTTACCTTGCTGAAAGGCATTAGTGAACAACTGGTTGTAGTTTCATGGTCACCATTCCTGAGATTAGTTTTCGATACCAGATTTCTTTTTTAAAAACTATTGAATTTAAATTCCATCACCTCCCTTGATGGGATTCGAACCTGTGACACCACAGCATTAAAGTGGACCCCTGGATTACCATCCCAGTGTCATTACTTAGCACACTGTTACCCCCCAATATCATTGTTATTTTTCCAGGACGTACAGCATCCAACTGATTTCCATGCTCAGCACAATGGAGCATTTGGGAAATAAGGTCTCATTTTGCCCGAGTAAAACAGCTTGTGCATCACTTCATAGAAAATCAGAGCAGAAGTAGGCTATTCAGCCTTTTGAGCCTGCTCCACCATTCAATTTGTTCATGGCTGATCATCTAATACATTACTCTATTCCTGCTTTCTCCCTGTAGACTTAGATCCTTTTAGTCCCAAGAATTACATCTAGCTCCCATTTAAAAATATTCAGTGTTTGGGCCTCAACCACTTTCTGGGGTAGTGAATTCCACAGGCTCACCACTGTCTGGGTGAAGACATTTCTCTTCATAAGAACTTACAAACAATGAACAAGTGTAGATCACTAGGCTCTTCAAGCTTGCTTCTCCATTTAGTAAGATCATGGCTAATCTGATTTTAACCTCAACTCTATATTCTTGCATAACCCCAATAATCTTTCATCCCTCTTAGTAATCAAGAAGCTATCATCACTCTTATAAATATTTAAAACTCTGCATCCACAGAATTTTGAGGAAAGGAATTTGAAAGAATCAACCCTCAGAAAAACTGGTTCATCATCTCTATTCTGAATAGATACCCCTTCTAAACTATGCAACTGGGCCAACATGCCAAGGAATGGCAGATGGAGTTTAATTCAGACACATGCGAGATGTTGCATCTTGGTATGGCAAACCAGGGCAGAACTTACACAGTTAATGGTAGGGCCTTGGGTAGTGCTGCCACACAGAGAGACCAAGGCGTGCAAGTAAACAGCTCCTTGAAAGTGGGGTCACAGGTAGACAGGGTGGTGAAGGCAGTGTTTGGCACACCTGCCTTCATCGGTCAGAACACCGAGTATGGGGTTGGGACACCATGTTATGACTGTACAAGACATTGGCAAGGCCATATTTGGAGTCCTGCGTACAATTCTGGTCACCCTGCTATAGGAAGGGTGTCATTAAACTGGAAAAGAACGAAAACAGATTTATGAGAGATTGGAAGGTTTGAGTTATAAGGAGAGGCTGGATTTTCTTTTTCATGTGTGGGATATGGGCATCGCTGCCTGGCCAGCATTTATTGACCTTCCGTAGTTGCTCATGAAAAGATGGTGGAGAGCTGCCACTGCAGTACACCTGCTGTGGGTTGACCCACAATGCCATTAGGGAAGTAATTCCAGGATTTTCACCCAGCAAGTGATGGAAAGATGATATATTTCCAAGTGCGGATGGTGAGTGACTTGGGGGGGAACGTGCAGAGGGTGGTGTTCCCATATATCTGCTGTCCTTGTCCTTCTAGATGAATGAATTTGAATGGTTGAATGATTTATTGTCACTTGCATTTTACAGTGAAAAGCTTCAATTGTCTCCACAATCCGAGGCTATTTTGAATTATCTGATTCGATTAAATTTGATTTGATTTATTTATTGTCACGAGTACCTAAGAACAGTGAAAAGCTTTGTTTGTGAGCAGTACAGACAGATTATAGTGAGGAAGGACATACAGATCATTGGGTGAAAAAAAAAACTTAGAGGCATACAGGTTACATCACACAGGGCGTACGCTAGGCAAGATCAACATTATTTGAAGTTAGAGAGTCCATTCATCAGTCTAACAACAGCTGGGAAGAAGCTGTTCCTGAACGTGCTGGCGTGTGTTCAAGCTTCTGTACCTTCTGCCTGACGGAAGAGATTGTAGTAAAGCATTAACAGGGTGGGAGAGGTCTTTGATGATGTTGGTGGCCTTTCCGCAATGGCGAGCCATTTAAACCGAGTCCATGGATGGAAGGTTGGCTTCTGTGATGTTTATACGCACAGCCCAGACTTTCTGTAGTTTCTTACGGTCCTGGGCAGAGCAGTTGCCATAACAGGCCGTTATGCACCCGGACAGTATGCTTTCAATGGTGCATCTGTAAAAGTTGGTGAGAGTCCTTATGGACACACCAAATTTCCTGAGCTGTCTGAGGAAGAAGCGGCGTTGTTGTCAACCTCTTCCGTCAGGCAGAAGGTACAGAAGCTTGAACACACACCAGCATGTTCAGGAACAGCTTCTTCCCAGCTACATGGGAACTCGAGGACAGGTTATCGGTTATTGTCACTCCTAGGAACTGGACACTCTCCACCCTCGGGGTTGTGGGGGGCGGTTGGGGGGCGGGAGGAGGATGGTGGTGGGGAGGCGGTTGCGCATGTTCTCCTCTTTTCTTCCTGAAGTCAATGATCAGTTTTCTAGTTTTGCTGATGTTGAGAAAGAGGTTGTTCTCATTGCACCATGTCATGGAGCCCTCTATCTCCTTTCTGTGTTCTGACTTGTTGTTGTTAGATATGTGTCCTACCACGGCGGTAAACTTGTATATTGCGTTCATTCAGAATTTAACAACATAGTCGTGGGTGTACAGGGAGTACAGTGGCGGGGAGGAGGTGGAGAGAGAGGGAGATCCAGTGTTGAGTGTTATCATGGAGGAGGTGTTGTTATCTATCTTCACTGACTGTGGTCTATAGGTCAGAAAGTCAAGAATCCAGTTGCAGACGGCGGAGCTAAGACGTAGGTCTCAGAGTTTTGAAGTTAGTCTGGAGGGGATAATAGTGTTGAAGGTGGAGCTGGAGTTGATGAGCAGGAGTCTGATGTAGGTGTCCTTTTGTCCATTGTTCCAGAGATGAGTGCAGGGCTAGGGAAATGCTGACCACTGTGGACCTGTTACGTCGGTAGACAAATTGTAGGGGATCGAAGCAGGCTGGGAGACTGGAGTCAATGTGGGCCATGAGCAGCCTCTCGAAGCATTTCATGATTATTGAGGTCACAGCCACTGGTCAGTAGTCATGAAGGCACATTGCATGTGCTTTCTTAGGTACTGGGAGAGCGGTGGTCTTCTTGAAGCAGGTGGGGACTTTGGCTTGCAGGAGGGAGAGGGTGAAGATGTCAGCGAATACCTCGCCAGGTGGTCCACACAGAATCTAAGTGAACGGCCGGGGACTCCGCCTGGGCCCCTCACTTTCCTCGGGTTTACGCTCAGCGAGACTGATCTGACATCTGTAGCAGTGATTGGAGGAACAGGTGCATCTGGGGCTTTGGGACAGATGACATGCAGAATGCCAGGGACACTTGAACCAAGCATAGAAAGCATTGAGTGCATCAGGGAGTGTGTTTCAGAATAAGAGTAAAAAAGATATAGCTGAAAGAAAGTCTATCTTCGTTCCGCCACCTCCACCATGAGTTATGAGCTGGCTCACCAGCACCACGACACCTGTGCCGCCATTCCTCCTTCACTGCCTCGCTGCCATCTGTGCTGGACCCACCGTCGTAGGAGTTGCTATTCCTTAGGCGCCATCTCTTCGTCACTGGGCCCACCTTGCCAATGCCAGAATTCCATGCTGCACTCACTCTCGCCCTTTGACCAGGAGACCCAGGCTCCGCTGTCACCTTGCTGATAACCAGGATTCCCCATTGGTGCCACTGTAGCTCCTGCCTCGCCAATACCAGAAGTCCCCGCTCTGGGCATGTTTTGACCAGGAGTCCCTGGCTCTACTGCCAGACCAGGCCTCATCCGCACCAAGAGTCCCACTCGGTCTGCCCTCTTCTGTGATGTCACCTTGTCAGCACTGACTTCTTGAAGAGTCCACTGCCGCTGTCGATTGCTTTGGAGGAGCTTTGCCGTTAGTCCCAAACTCCGGGAGGGACATCCTCGATGCTGTTACTGCTGCCGCCAATTGCCAGGAAGAGAGTCTACCACTGCTGTCTCAAACTGCTGGGAGGCTGCCGCCACTCTCACCGACGCACTGAGGCCACAACTAACACGCCAAAGAAACCGAAAGAAAATAAACAAAAAGAAAGAGAGAATTAAAGAGAAAGTAGATGACAGTGGATGAATCCTGGGCCAGAGCCTGCACTAAGCCCTGCTACTCCACTGCCATCTTGGAACCTTGAAGATGGAAGTGGTCGTGGGTTTGGAAGGTGCTGTCTGAGGATCTTTTGTGAATTTCTGCAGTGCATCTTATAGATAGTACATACTGCTGCTACTGAGCGTTGGTGCTGGAGGGAGTGGATACTTGTGGATGTCGTGCCAATCAAGCAGCTGTTTTGTCCTGGATGGTATCAAGCTTCTTGAGGTTGTTGGGGCTGCACCCAACCAGGCAGTGGGGATTATTCCAGCAAATTGTGGATTGTAGAAGGTGGACAGGCTTTGGGGAGTTAGGAGATGAGTTACTTGCCACAGTATTCCTAGCCTCTGACCTACTGTTGTAGC